TGGACTTTTCTTCTGTATCTTTTTTCCTCTTGGGTCTTTCATATGCTCATTTTTTCCCTGTTTTTCCCCTTGAAAACACTTACTGCCAAAACTGTCAATCACCTTTCCTTTCTTTTCCTGCATAGACGCAGTGGAAATCATGATCATTTAAAACTTGGAGTGCATGCTAAGTATTACACACTTAAATGACAGAACATTGAAGATAAGCAGTAAAACCATCAAAGCGATAGTACCTCTTCTTATGTTTCCTCAGACACTTTGGAAACTATGCAAGTATCTTTGAGGGAAGGATGAGAGGATAAAGTGCCAACCTCTTTTTTCCAAAGACAGGAGCTTATCTACAGAAAGTTTTACATCCTTCTAACTGAGACTGCACTAATAACAGTATGCATGTACACCATACTTTAACCTTAAATGCACCAATAATCTGGCACATTAATGTTTCTACTCCAGTATAGTCAAGAGCAGTTTAATCTCACAAGTTAATTCTGTACAATTGTCTGTAGGCTGTTAGTCTTTCTCACACTGTTTTGAAGTGTTTTTCTGACCAGCCAATCTGTGTACCTCTAGTCACCTGAATATGCTGATCTAAAGTGTTTGGAAACACCTCTCTTTGTTTAAATGTGTGTAAGTAATCAGGTTTTAATCTATCTGAGTTTGCCTGCTTCAGCACAACTTCTTAAGCACATTGTGTGTCTTGTTTCAATCCTCGGCCATTTCTCCTTATTATTCCTCTGGCTCAAGCCAAGCTGAGGTCCTAAATCTCTTGCTCTCTGGTGAGAAATCTTAAGGCTCTGATATTGAAATATTCACATTTCTTGCAAATATGGCCCAAGTAATTCAGTTAAGACACCCCCTAACAGTATCATACTGGAAGAAAGGATGAAGAAATAACATGGGAGAAGAATGAAATAAATCTCTGGCAGTGCTCAAGCTGCTTCTTTGTACTCTGACAAACTGGGTAAGATTTGGTAAAGGAGGCTGGCACTGACACATGCTTTACAGGCATTTGGCAGCTGGGACAAAGAAAGATGCTGAGGCAAATAAAACTATTTGTTGCATGAAGATTCACCTGAAAGTTAAAGATTGTCTCTTTACTGGCTTACAGAAACCAGCACAAACGCTGGTCCAAACAACTCCATGTCAGTGCATGACAACACAAAGGCATTAGCAACTGTGGCTGAGGAAGCTGGGTCAGCATTGTCACACTTGCTTTCATTAAAAGTTACTGGTGTATTGTTCTGTAACATACATGTGACTTTTATCTTTCCTTCTCAATCTGCCCAACCTAGGCAAACATGAGTGAGTACACTCTTTGAATCCTGTTCTGTCTTTACACTTCATACCCTCACACTCAATTTATTCAGCAAGTGCCCAGATAGCCAGATTGACTGCCCTGAAGCCAGATTTCCAGCCAAAAAGCTGTACTTTGTCACTTCCCAGCTCCCCTCCTTGTTCTCCTGTTGCACCCACCACTCTTACCTCCTCTTTGTACTCCCAAAGTGACAGCCTTCACTGTTTGTGTTCTCAACCACCTGCCTTCTGAGCAGCACCTTGGGGTCCTCCTCAGCTTTTGTGCCATGTGCTCGCAGGTCAGTACCACCACATCTGAAGCAGAATGTCCCATCACAGGAAGATACTGGTAATTAAGGATTCAGTGACTAGATTATCAAGTACATAGTGCATTTTCATCAGTCAAGTTATTACCGAGCTTCATCAGCATAAATTCTTTATCAGTTTAGATCTTATTAGCATTCATATGAATCTATGTAGGGATACTGAATTCAACAAAAGAAATCTCAAGTTGGAAACTCATAGCATAGAAATTTTCACAGGGCAGAAGTGCTTCTGTAACATAAAATTGCTTGTAAAACAGCACTACTGTAACAGCAAAATCAGAAAAACCTAAGTTTTGCATGAAAAATTTCAGCAGGATGTCACACTGCATAGCAGCATTGCTTCCTTGGCTCTGCAATAAATGACCTTGGTCTCATCAGCAGCTCAAGCTTTCTTTCCCAAGGCATCATCCCACTGAGTAACAATAGCCCTTACATATTATGTATGTGATTTTCTTGCTGCTTGATCACATGAATTGGGAACATTTCCTCCTGTGCAGGGAGGCTGGGCCCGTTTCCCCCTTCCTGCCTGCTGCAGCCCTCCAGTACTGCTGTTAGCTGGCTTATAGGGCCTGAGGACAGGCTGTGCAATACTGGGAATGATGGGCATGATGTGTGAAGCTGCCACACACCCGCCTTCTAGCAGAAATCGGTCAGATACACAGATTTCCTGTGCTGTCATTGGAGAGGGCAGAGTGGGAAACAGACAGTGGGATGCCTTGACTCAAGGCCACACAGGCTCCAAGAGGCTCTGGGAAAGACACCCCAGAACTGTGGATTTTTGCTTCCACAGAGACTGAACAACGAGCGAGTAACTTCTAGTTATTCTCACTTGTCAAGGTCAACACATGCAGCACGCAATCAGCAGCGCTTCTTCAGCACTTCACAGACCCGAAAGTAGAGACTTTAACATGACTCCACAAAAAAAAGAGCAAAGGCAGCCCGCGTGGATACGGAGACCTGTTTTCCGCACTCGGCAGGCCCCAGAAGCCAGCTCAGCTCAGCTCAGCCCAGCCCGTCCTAGCCCGTCCTGTCCTGTCCTGTCCTGTCCCGTCCGGTCGGGTCGGGTCGGGTCCCGGCCCGGCCCATTAAGCTCCGCGTGCCACCAGCTGCACCGCGGGCCCGAGACAACCCACTGCCGCGCCCCCACGGGCGGCTCCGCTAGCCCCGCTACCCGCCTGACGCGAGGGGCGGAGCTGCTGCGGGCCAATGAGCCTATGGGGGCACTGCCAACGCCCAATGAGGCGGTGGGTCGGGGGCGGTGCCTGGAGGAAGCGCTGTGGCGGCGGCGGCGGCGGCGGCGGCGGCCGGGTCGATGTGGCCGGCGAAGGAGGGTCCGGGTGCGGCGGCACCGGGCAGCGGCGCCTGCCTGCTGCTCGTGTCTCTGCTGCTGCTGGCGGCGGTGCTGCTGGCGCTGGTGGTGCGGCAGCTGCTGAAGCAGCGGCGGCCTCCCGGGTTCCCGCCCGGCCCCGCGGGGCTGCCCCTCATCGGCAACATCCACGCCCTGGGCGCGGAGCAGCCGCACGTCTACATGCGGCGGCAGAGCCAGATCCACGGGCAGGTACCGCCGCTCCGGCGGCGTCTGCCGCCTCATCGGGGCCCCGTGGAAAGGGAGCAGGGCGGGCTGGGACGGGGCAGGCAGCGCTGCCCGCGGCAGCAACCGGGCGGGCTGTGCCCGTCCCGGCCGTCCTGGGGTTGCCGCGGAGCCCTGACCCGCACCGGGAGCACGGCGCGTGCCACCGCGGGAGCTGTCCCGCCGCTTGGCTCCGGCCCGGAGGGGGTCAGGGTGCCCACGCCCCGCCGGCGAGCGGTCAGCAGCGCGGGGCCGGGCAACCGGGGTTGCGCCGCCCCGGGGACGTGGCAGCGGTGCCGCTGGCGGAGCTCGCCCGCTTCTGGCGGGAGCAGAAGGCCCGCACCCGGCCGGTAGCGGGTCCGGAGCGCCAGGCTCTGGCAAAACTTGTGCTGCGGTCAGCCCTGCCTGTGGGAAAAGGGAGAGACGAGCGTCAAAGAAGAGTTGTCACCGTTCCGAGCTCCCCGGTTAGGCAGGATGGGCGGAGTGGAGCTGTCCACGAGCCCGGCTCTGGAGTTTATGTCATATTTTGGTACAGTGCTTACACTCGTGTCCTGCTGCCAGTGGAACGACCTCGCTTTCATATCCACTAGCCTTGGGCATGCCGAAAGGGCTTTAAAATTAATAAAAGTACCACCACCAAATAGCAGGCACTTGAATAAGGCAACATTTTCGCTGAAAACACATTGCACCTTGAAGGTGCCCTCAGTGGAGTATTTGGAATACTTACTTACAGTCAATGAGTATAACTACATGAGCATAGAATTTTTCTTTCTTATGTGTTTCTTTTCATCAACTGGTTTCAAGCAACCGATCTGTTCTTATAAGCTTCATAGAAGTTAAACCCAAGACAGGGAAAGGCAGGGACATGCTAGCATTTGTGTGCGTACACCTAACAGAACACACACAGACACAGTGCACACAGCCTGGCCAGCCACTCAGTGTGCCTGTACATCTTCAGACTGTTTATAACACCTGTGTTGTTTTACTTAGAAGGATTATCACTGGAGGTGTGTGAAGGACTGAGCTTTGTGGCCAGCAGGCAATGGTTTGTTAAGGAAATCATGTCCTTCAAACTGCTAGAGGTGTTTAAGTATAACACCCCTCACAGGCAAATAAAACTGTTTTGAGAACTTAAGTCTGTCAAAAGCTTTTGTCCAGATAATTTATGAAACCTCCAGTAGAAACAGAGTAAGTCACAGTCTTGGCATGAATGAGAAGCCAAGAAAAGTGCCTGAATTAAAAGCCTGCTAAATAGCAGAAACAAAAGAATAGGATTCCCTTTTGTTTCATTTATTTTGGCAATAGAAAAAAGTAAATGTATTTCAATCAGAATACTAGGGACAAATAGAATGGAAACCAGCAGGAAAATGTGTCAACAAATAAACTAAGCTTTCTATTTGCCTGGAATGCTATATATAATTCTATCACCTACTGTCAGAAAGGATCCTGCAGAATTTGAGAGAACTTGAAGGTGGCATATCAGGATTTTGATGGCTCTGAAAAAAAAACACTGAGAGGATTTTTTTTTTTTTAATTTTGTATGACATAGGAAGAAAGATAAATAAGCTATGATCAAAGTATACAAATAGTTTTCAGAAATATATTGGGACTGTCTTCTTGTCCTGTAAAAAAGAAGAGCCATTATAACACTGAATATACAAAGTTTGCTAAAACATAAGTCATAGAATCATTTAGGTTGGAAAAGACCCCTAAGATCATGGAGTCCAACCATTAACCAAACACTGCCGAGTCCACCACTAAACCATGTCCCTAAGTACCACATCTACAGGAGGTCTTTTAAATACCTCAGCCACTTCCTTAGGCAGGCTTTGCTGTTCCAGGGCTTGACAAACCTTTCAGTGACAGCCCAGTTGTCACAGAGTGTTTAAATAGGCTAACTTTATTTCATATTGTGGAGGTCAACAGCTGAGATGAAGAAAAAACTAGAGACTGGTGTAGGTAAAACCTACAGATTTGTAACGCTAAGAGAAATATTGAACAGGGCACAGGATTTCAATCTGGAGTTTAGCCTCGGTGTTAATTTTTGAAACTTAGGTTAAGATTTTCATTTTGTTTATCCTGTATGTGCCTTCTGCAGGATATATTGCATCTTTCTCCAAAGCATCTAGTGCTAACCACTTCTGGAAACGGGAGATGGGACTAGCTGGGCTATGCTGTCATAAGTTGGCTGTCATCATGGCTCTCACTTCTATCATCTGATGATTCTTTGGGAGCCTGTGCAAAGTAAGCTGGTGTCCAGTTTCAGAGGTAGCAAGGACTGGGTGCAGCTTGGTTGTTTTCACAACTGAAACCACTTCTGAGTCTGCCGTTACTTAGTGACATGTTGGAAGTCTTCATGGTACGAACTTACAGCTTCAGTCGTAGTGCCCTTAACCAAATTAAGCTGTTGGAATTTACCTTTACTCAGCCATGAAGGAGCAGCTCATACGGTAGTAAAGATTTCCTCCCTCCTGTGGAAATACTCATGGCAAATTACCAAAGTAGACAATATATGCACTCTATTTCTAGTTCACACATAAAACTATACCTTATATCAAATAATGTTATATACTTATATACTGATACTAATACATACTTATCTATGCTCATCTTAGGACACAGTACATTTTTTCAAGAAAATGCTCACTGTTGTGCCAAATTCACGTTTTTTTAATGACTATATGAAAGCATCCCCAGTCTTCACTTTGGAGAGCTGGTCACTTAGGTGTACAGCAAAGTGCAGAATGTAGTGTGGGCTGATTTCCTTTATCTTTGACAGAGTAAATTAGCTCACAACAAACTCTGTTTAATACCACAGTTGCATCACCTCTGATTACCTGTATGCCTTACTGAAATTTATTTGAGCCTGGTTTGCATTCGTATGTAGTGTGGCTTCACATTTTTATTACTTGTTTTAGTTGTTTTCATTATTTGTTCCTGAGATTTGGTTGCAATAGCATTTTATTATTTTTTTCAAGATCTTCAGTCTCGATCTCGGAGGTATATCTGCTATTGTACTGAATGGATATGATGCAGTAAAAGAATGCCTTGTTCATCAAAGTGAAATTTTTGCAGACAGACCATCTCTTCCCTTGTTTAAGAAGCTGACAAACATGGGAGGTAAGAACTAATATCTTTTATATAAAAATGTAGGTTTTGTCCAATAGATGGGCTTGTGATCACGTGAAACATTTGCTTTACTGTTTTCTCTACTTCTTTATCTCCTTTTGTAAAATACTGGGTGCTTCTTTAAAGTTATTGTTTGGAAAGTACTGTCAGTCTTGAACTATCCATAGCAAGATGTGTGTAATTTTTTTGTCTTTTCTTGTCTTGTTAAATAGTTTTATTATCTTATGGGGGGAAAAATAAACACTGCATAAAACACTGTGTCAAAATATTTTTTTCAGGCTTACTGAACAGTAAATATGGCAGAGGATGGACAGAACATCGCAAATTAGCTGTAAATACCTTTCGAATTTTTGGATATGGTCAAAGGTCCTTTGAACACAAAATTTTGGAGGAAGCTATGTTTTTTCTTGATGCCATTGATACATACAAAGGCAGACCATTTGATCTAAAGCACTTGATAACAAATGCTGTTTCAAACATTACGAATTTGATTATTTTTGGACAACGTTTTACGTATGAAGATACCGAATTTCAGCACATGATTGAGATTTTTAGTGAAAATATTGAATTAGCTGCTAGTGCTTCTGTATTTTTATATAATGCTTTTCCTTGGATTGGTATCTTGCCATTTGGGAAACACCAGCAGCTGTTTAAAAATGCAGCTGAAGTCTATGACTTTCTTCATGACCTTATTGTACGTGTCTCTGAAAATAGGAAGCCTCAGTCACCTCGACATTTTGTAGATGCATATTTAGATGAGATGGATTGCAATGAAAAGGATCCAGAATCTACATACTCAAGAGAAAACTTAATTTTCTCTGTTGGAGAACTCATCATAGCTGGGACAGAAACCACAACAAATGTTTTAAGATGGGCAGTGTTATTTATGGCTCTTTATCCAAACATTCAAGGTAAGAACTTTGGTATTTTGAGGAACTGAAACACTTTCCTAATGCAAATTTAAAATGCTTTTTCAAAGTGGTGCAGTGATCCATAGTTGTAACCAAAAAGAAAGAAAGGGTTATATATATTACTCTATTTACCAAACATACTATGGGTAGAGGTAAAAAGCCTATTTTATATGCAGGTGGAGAGGACATCAAAAGTTAAGTATAGTGATAAAATTTTTGCGTATTATTTTGTGAATATATTTTTATGAAGCTTTAATATTTTCAATAAAGTATTTCTGATATATTTAAGTTTAGTGTAGTGATGCATAATATTGATTGGTAGATACACTAATCTGTGTAGCTAGTAAATAATAAGCAAATGCAATTAAATATGAAATTAATAAAATAAGAATTTAAAAATATCAGCAAAAATGTAAATCAGGTTGTGGTTAACTATTTAGGTGCCATTTCTTCTTATCCTTAAGTGTCTCAATTCACAATAGATTTATGTATTACAGACATGTATATTTATAGTTTTGGAAGAACAAAAATAGATAGCATTTAAAAATAAAAATAGGAAGATGTTGCAGTCATTCAGAGGTAAGACAGCAATAGATGTTTGAATGTCAGCCCAGATATTTTGTGTAGACATTTGGATTTTAGAAGTGAACGGTCACGTTTCTTGTTTCACTGCCTCCACTTTGCTTTTCCTATCAAAACTTAGCAGGACTTAGTTCAACTGGAGACGTTAAGTATTTGGAGAAAGAGCAGCCTTAGATAACTTGGAAAGTTACTATTTATACTTTGACAAAAAATACTGCTCTAACATCAATTTCACCATTATCATCATTTCAGAATGGGGATAACATTATTACCTGTAGCTGTAAGGCTCTTAAAGATCTGAAGTTCTACATAGGAACCAGATATCTTTATGTAGGAAAGATTATATTTCTTCTTATGGTAGACAGGAAGCAATTATTATCTTAAAATTGGCGGTGAAATTTTATATTTACATTTAAGGTAAATACAGCTTTACTTAAAAAAAACCACCAAAATTATGATGATAATATATGTCAAGGCCTGACGTGCTATAAGCAGTGAAAATCATTCAGTTTAGATAAAGAAGTTGATGACAAAGCTTTTTCATTGCTGCTATTACCATTATTATAAGTCCCATATTCACTGAGCTGGTTTAAATATCTGGCTAAGCAAGTAGAACTAGCTTTGCAGTCTTTTCCTTGTTTGTTTAGTTTTAAGAGCTCCAGAAAAAAAAAGATATACAAGGAAAAAAGGTATGTTAAAACATTATTTTACTGAGAAAATTACTTCTGAAATGAAGATTACTTGTATATATATATATGCTAGTAATAATTCCTTCTAGCAGGATAAGGAATGTATAGTCTGAATTTAAAAACTTACGGTCTACTATATTTTATATATTTCACGTTTCAGTATCCTTCATAAAGTATATATTTTATAGCTTAAAAAAATTACACAATAAGCATCAACTTTTATTCCTGTTCCTAACAGGGCAAGTTCAAAAAGAAATCGAATTAGTCATCGGCCCAAGCAAAATGCCTACCTTAGAAGAGAAAAGCAAAATGCCATACACTGAGGCTGTTCTACATGAAGTTCTAAGATTCTGTAATATAGTTCCACTAGGTATTTTTCATGCAACTTCGAAAGATACTGTTGTGCGTGGTTACTCTATTCCTGAGGGCACTACAGTCATTACAAACCTTTACTCCGTTCATTTTGATGAAAAATATTGGAGCAATCCAGAAGTGTTTTTTCCTGAGAGATTTTTGGACAGCAGTGGGCAATTTGTCAAGAAAGATGCATTTATTCCTTTTTCACTAGGTAAGTGATTCCTTCCACTGTTCCTTTTCATAAACCTAGAGACAAATAACATAGAAGTCATGGCAATAAATCGGGAATGGACAGAATGATATAAAGTATCCACAGTTCTGATGAAACAGCTATTTTAAAGATATTCAATGTAATGTACTCTGGACATAATATATTTTAGCATAATATCTTTTATATAGATGAGCTCATTATTATATATAAACTAATAAAAAAGACAGCACAGTGTCTTCTGAGGAGTCCAGACATTTTATATCTTTGCAGCACGTAAGTGTTACTCATTTCACAATTAACAGTAATATGCTGCTAAGGTCATTACATACAGGTGATTTAAAAAAACAGCTTTCAAATTTCAGCATTTATATCAGCACCAGAAACCGCAGACCTGATTCAGAACTAGCTTGGGAGTCAGCATGCAGCACTTCATTCTGCCCTAAGGAAATACTCCTAACAGTCCCGAATCATTATGGATTTGTCTTTTGATGCCTATAAGAGTGAATAATTTGCTTCACATATGATTACCAACCTAAAAAAATAGTTTTGTTGTCCTGGTTTTGGCTGGGTTGGAGTTCATTTTCTTCCTAGTAGCTGGTACAGTGCTGTGGTTTGAATTTAGTCTGAGAATAATGTTGATAGTACACTGATGTTTTAGTTGTGGCTGAGTAGTGCTTACTCTAAGTCGATGACTTTTCAATCTTTCATAGTCTGCTAGTCAGGAGGTGCATAAGAAGCTGGGAGGGAGCACAGCCAGGACAGCTAACCAAAATTCTATACCATAGAACATCATACTCAGAATATAAACTGGGAGGAGTTGGCCAGGATCACTACTCAGGGATGGTTGGTGTGGCACTTAGTTGCTGGCTGGGGTTAAACCATGACATCTGTATAGGCTAACTGCCAGGGCTACCTCTGCAGACCATAGAAAGACATAGCCTGCAGAGAAGGACTTGAGGGTGTTGGTCAATGAGAAACTGAACATGAGCCGGCTTCAGTGTGCACTCGCAGCCGAGAAAGCCAACTGTATCCTGGGCTGCATCAAAAGGAGCGTGACCAGCCCCTCTGCTCTGCTCTCGTGAGACACCACTTGGAGTATTGTGTGCAGTTCTGGTGTCCTCAGCATAAAAAGGACACGGAACTGTTGGAACAAGTCCAGAGAAGGGCCACGAGGATGATCAGGGGACTGGAGCACCTCCCATATGAAGATAGGCTGAGAAAGTTGGGGCTGTTCAGCCTGGAGAAGAGAAGGCTGCATGGAGACCTCATAGCAGCCTTCCAGTATCTGAAGGGGGCCTATAGGGTTGCTGGGGAGGGACTCTTCATTAGAGACTGTAGTGATAGGACAAGGGGTGATGGGTTAAAACTTAAACAGGGGAAGTTTAGGTTGGATATAAGGAAGAATTTCTTTACTGTAAGGGTGGTGAGGCACTGGAATGGGTTGCCCAGGGAAGCTGTGAATGCTCCATCCATGGTGGTGTTCAAGGCCAGGTTGAACAGAGCCTTGGATGATATGGTTTAGTGTGAGGTGTCCCTGCCCATGGCAGGGGGGTTGGAACTAGATGATCTTAAGGTCCTTTCCAACCCTAACTATTCTATGATTCTATGATTCTATGATTAATTTATTGTGCATTCTGTTTCTTTTTGCCAGTTCGACCTTACCAGTTCCAGATGTTGTTACCCATTCATCTGTGTCTTCCACATTTATTCCCTGTAACTAGTTATCCATAGAATGGGAACTAATATTTAAAGGTATTATCCAGATCTGTTTGATATCTTTCTGCTTCCCAAGTTGTAATTATTGCCAGGTAATAACAAGTGACAGTAGATGTAATTAACAAAATAGTAGGGGACAAGGGCTGAAATTCACAGTATCATTTTTTAAAACATCTTCTGTCTAGATTGCTACTTCAAGACACGATCAAGTAGCTGATAGCTTATCTAAATAAATTTGATGTAATTTGTGTAGTAAGAGGAACAAATTGGTTTCTTGCTGTAAATTATCACCAATCCTCTCCTACAGAATACTGCAAATTTTGCACAGCTTCTCTCAGAACACAAAAATTAACCATTCTTATTCATTATAACAGTGAAAATGTAATTAAACACATTTTAAGTCTTTCTAAAACTGTTTTTTCAATCCAGGAAGAAGACATTGCCTTGGAGAACACCTAGCTCGAATGGAAATGTTTTTGTTTTTCACTTCATTACTACAACGATTTCACCTGTGTTTTCCTCATGGCATGATTCCAGATCTCAAACCAAGATTAGGCATGACATTACAACCACAGCCATACCTCATCTGTGCAGAAAGACGATGAAGACAAGGATCTAGATTGTCAGGTGAAACACAGTGTTCCAAGTTGCAGCTGAGGATCTACTTTGACTTCTATTTCTAAATGTCTTCATGTCAGAGGAACAAAAATTTAAAGGACTTGCAGATAAACTCTGATTGTGCATAAGTAAGTTAATAGTTTCTTTTTACTTGTTTTTCACAAAAAAAAAACACCCTGAACCAAGATCATGAAACACATCCTGTGTTTAAAGTTCACGTTTTCACTCCAGAAGTCTTCTTTTAATTCCCAACTTCTTACTCAGCTTTTAAATATTTAATTATCTAGCAAGTCGTTTTATTTTGAGAGGATATTTTTATAAGCATGGAGAATATGGCTCAAAATGTTCATACTCAGATTCATCCATGAAAATCTCGTTTACATTATTCCAACTAAGATGTTCTTTATAATTCCCCATTAAATTTACATAGCTAAAAAGTTTTCAAAGGCATCTATTTAAATTTCTGTAACTCAGAATAAGCTGTCTTTTCCAGCCTTAATAAATTGTTTATTGAAGGATTTTAGTCCTTCCTTCTTTTTGCTCTATCTTCCCAGTTGGTCATAATTTTTCTAGAGAATCAGATGACTCCGTGAATTCACTTTTGAGCTCTTTTATGGTTTGCTTCTTATTTAGCAGCATATAGTGTTCAGTTGTTGCCATACTCCTGACAGTCACAGCAATTTTTTTTGCCAGTTTATTGCATTACCAGAGTATGGCCTCCACTGCCTCCCAACACTAAGCATTATGTAATGATTAATCTCTGCCTAAGTAGTCTGGAAAAAAGAGTGTCTGTGTTATTCATATGCCCCTGTACTATGAGTAAAGAAAAAAAGCTGCTCCTGAATCTGACCAGAGAAGAGACCTTTTGGCAGGGGGACTGGAATAGGATGAGGAAAAACAGATCTTAAATGGATTCCAAACACAAGTTTTAGGCTTCATTTTTTATTCTTGACAGCTATTGCTTTATTGGTAAAGATTTATGCAGGCTTTGCCAGAGAATCTGATACTCTAAGTATGGTATGATAGTTCCCACCATGTGGGGAGAAGTAGGACCTCAGAATAGGGTTCAGAATAAACCATACACTGAGCAAGCTGCTCTTTAAGGCAGGGCTAATTATTATACCTTGTTCTTTATACAGCTTATGCTACAACTTGGAGCTGCAGGAAATGTTAAAGGCAGGAATTAGTGTTTTTCTGCTGACCTGATGTTTTCAGCTTATGCTGAGCAGAAATGCCTCCTTTCTTTTGAAATAGCAAAGAAGAAGGATCAGAGCTGGTACCAGTCCACTTAGGTAATAGTGTAGTGACTTAAGATGGAGCAGGTCCAGATTAAATATCTCTGTCTGAGGGTAGTCAGACCCACCTGCCCCACAGAGAACATCTCAAACACATGTTCCTGCTGCTCTGAAGAGGGTTGTCAGGCTGCTCCTCTTGCTGAATAACTGACTTTCTGTAAAGATTTAAGATTCAAAAAGCAGAGGAAGGTGATAAGCCTAATTGCTGTGCATTGGGCACACCATGAAAGCTGCAAATAAATAAATATTGGCAAACAGTGCTTCTTTGGAGTCAATATTGAGGCTTGAGTAAATGTAGGGTACTTGTGAAATGCTTAAGTAAAAATTGGGGAATCTACCAAATTTAAGTGCCTTCGGTATGAAGAATACCCAACAGGAGGGTTCATTATTACAGCTCTAGACTCACGGTATTTCTTCCTGTATCCCACCCTGTGCTCCTAGATGATACAGCTAGAGTTTTGTTAGAGTCTAGGCTTGCCTTCTGGGTTGCAAGAACTCTAGGACAGCTTTTCATTAAAACATAATTCAAATAATCCTGATATAAGTGGGAAGAGAGTTATTTAAAAAAAAAAAATAAAAAAAACACATCAAGAACCAGTTCTTGCAGGGGCTACTCTCAAAATGCAGCTGACCAGTGATAATTCCCTTTTGCTGGGGTTTTCTGAGATCTAACTCCTGGCTAGTCTTTAATCCATTTAATGAGAACCATAATGATTATATGTCATTCTGGTTTATAAATCAAAACACCTTATAAAAGCTGCAGAATATCAATCCAAGCTTTTACCATTACCTGCCAATTTATGGCATCATTTAAGCAAATACATTTGACAAACTGTCTTTTCTAGAAATTGATATCAGTATTAGTTATATTTACATGTTTCATTACCAACTTTTTCATTATTTTCCCTCTGACTTAGAATTATCCTAATGATTCAGTTTAATAATTTGAAATACTGACATAGTAGTTTTTTCCAGTCCTCTGGAAATTCTCTATTGTTTCAAGATTGATTAGTGATGAACATCAGTCAGTAGCCAGTCAAATGATCAGAATTTCCTGGTGAGTTTTCTACAGCTGAGATATCTAACATAGCTGGCTGCTATTTAACATTGTTCAGGGATTAAAGGTTGGTATATTAACCAGTATATATTTTTCTGGTTGTAGATTTAAGGATGAAAAAAGACATTATTTGTTGAGGTAATATTGTTCCTATTGGAACAATATTGGAGGGGACTGGAGCACCTCCCATATGAAGACAGGCTGAGAAAGTTGGGGCTATTCAGCCTGGAGAAGAGAAGGCTGTGTGGAGACCTCATAGCAGCCTTCCAGTATCTGAAGGGGGCCTATAGGGATGCTGGGGAGGGACTCTTCATTAGGGACTGTAGTGATAGGACAAGGGGTAACGGGTTAAAACTTAAACAGGGGAAGTTTAGATTGGATATAAGGAAGAAGTTCTTTACTGTGAGGGTTGTGAGGCACTGGAATGGGTTGCCCAGGGACGTTGTGAATGCTCCATCCCTGGCGGTGTTCAAGGCCAGGTTGGACAGAGCCTTGGGTGAGATGGTTTAGTGTGAGGTGTCCCTGCCCATGGCAGGGGGGTTTGAACTAGATGGAACTAGGTTCTTTCCAATTCTAACTATTCTATGATTCTATTTGCAGAAGTTTTTCCCATCTAGCTTTGAAGGTCTTAATGTTGTGGATTAAATCAATGTGTCTAAATCCTTATGGAAAGATTTCTTGAAATTTAAGTTGTAACATCTTTGTTTCTGTATGTTAATGCCATTTGTTGCGCTCTTGGTTTCACAATTTTCCCAAATTTTATTCCCTCAGGTATTTTGTCTTTTGCAGTAAGCTCTTTGAACTAGAACTGGAAGTACTGTTTCCATATACAAGTGTATCACAACCACAAGAAGAAAATTTCATATATCTTATCTGTAACTCCAGTCATTTCCAAAGGCATTGAAGGACTTTTTGCTGTAAATATAGCTAAAAATGTGTATTCAGCTTGCCTTTGCTGCTCTCGATCCCTGTACAGCTTTGAATCATTCTCTTTATCTAGTTTGCCCTGTTAAAAAATATCCACTTTGGCTCTTTTAGCTTCCCGTGAGATTACTGCAATGTTCTTTGCACTGGTTTTTCAGACTTGTTCAGTATTTGTAAATGCAGACAAGATTCAGCAGTCTTTCCTAAGGAGCAAGAATGTTGAGACTTGATGCTATATTCTTTATGTAATTATTTTAGTTTCTCTTTGAGCAATAACTAGTTGTCTTGTCCAAGTATAAGCACAGAAATTCTGCTAATTGGAGGAGAATACAGTCACCATTGTCTTAGTTTGCTATATCACGTTCAAAGATCTCCACAGCCTTCCACAATATAATACTAGTAGGAAGATTATGAATTGCTCTGTGTTTCTCCTACATCTGTTTTCTCCACCTTGGCTCTGGTTTTGTGTACTTGCTTTAAGCCAGAAACTACAGAAGTGGTTCTGTGCCTTTGCTCTTTGCGCCATTTCTGTACCATGAGAATGGGTGCTTTCTGCCCTGTTTCTCAGATAGTCTATTCCTGTCTCCACTCCTAGACTTAAGGCCAGGCCCAGGGTGATGCATCTTGCTATCCAGCAGGAGATTCCCTTCTTAACACTGAGGCAAGAGCTTCAGTCAGTGCCACCATAGTATCTTAAATCCCCCTTTCTAAAACTCTGTCCTCGAATTTAAGGTTTTGGATTAACCTTGACCAACTCAGCATCCGCAGAAACTGAAAAGGGTACACTATAAGCATGTCATATATGACACTGAAAGAATGCCAAAGAAAATTAAGCACTTAATTTTGCTTAACTTGCACTAGTTTCTGTGATACTGGGGAACTTCAGCTTAGTGTGAACCAAATGCAGGAAGGTTCATTATTTTATGCTCTAATTTATATTAAGAAATTAACTATACAAAGTGGTATTTCATGTAAGTTCAAGAAACATGGCTACTTCTCCAAAAGCAGATAGTTTGGATTTATTGTGATACATTCTTTATATGTATCCAGAATATGTTTTGATATGATGTGAGAATCATAATAGTGCTGTATTGTGGTTTGCCAATACATACTAGAAGTAGTTCAGCTAACTTGGACTATATTCTAGGATGTAGCTGCATCTTTTCTCAGTGAACAGTGTCTCATGTCTTAAATCTCAAATTCTCTTAATAAGAGGTTGATAAAATAGAAACAGGGAAAAGGGGAACATTCCAGCTGGTGTTTATGCATTCTAATGTTATGTACACACTGTCAAATTTGTAATGTTTAACTGGGATCTAATAACTGTCCAGAGAACTGGTCATATCTGGAAAAAAGAGAAAGCCAAATAAAGAAAAAACTTATAAATAGGGACAAAAAGAGTAGATTGAAAGCAAAAACACAATGGGTTCTAATTCTTGCAGTTATTCACAAAACAGTCTGAAGCATGAGTAGTTTATCTGGAAAAATAATTACAGTTCTTTTAATGACATTTCTGGATAGAACTGGCAGATTTTTTCAGACTAAGTACCAGAAAATGCTGTATCTGTAGCAGCCAAAGTGCTGTTTCAGACTGGAGTTCACAAAGAGCCTGTTTCTTTCACCCTTAAATCAAGTAAATCATAAAACCGTGGTAATTTTTAAAGCTGTACAGAATCAGGGTTGGAAAGCAGCAAAACTTACATTTAAGATCTGTAGTGACTTAAGAGCTGAAATACATCTGGAAGATCTTCCTTGTCTTTGGTTTGAGCATCACTGCAGGAAACATGAACTGAACCTGCAAGGGAAATGGACTTT